AACAGAAGTGACAGGTAGGGTTGGGGAGATGGTGAGATCTCAGATACGTCTGTTCCTGAAATATTTAGGAAAGTAGACCTAACTGCTGAGAGACATCTGGAGTTGATTTTCTTTGCCTTGCAAACGGAAAAGTTAAGAGGAAGCAGGATCAGCACGTATCTACATAAGGACCTAAACGTTGATAACAGGGGTTCCTTTAAACTGGTTGAAAGACCAATTAGACAGTTTAGACAGGGTCTAAAAATCAAAGATAAGTAGGCTCAGACTAGTAACAGCAGTAACTAGTAACAGCAGCTAGTTTTGAAAGGCTATGGTGTACTGTCCTTCAGTGAAATGTTTTAAAATCTAGATAGAACGTTCTTCTAAACCAGGATATGACCACTGCAGTAGATTGACTCAGTCCTATAGCCTGTGTTGTGCTAGTCAGGCACATTGATCCCATCACCTCTCCTGTTTTATAGGTTCACGAACCTGTGGTTCTTGTTCTATCTAAATTACTCCTTAAATGACGTCTAGATAATCTGCATTTAGCCACTGTTCAAAACCTGCATACACCGTGTTGCTGACCTAAGATGATAAATGAATGTTCTGGCTACTGCCTTTAAGGTGAGATTGCTTGGTTTTGGCCTAAAAGGGCTGGAAGCACTTTCTTAGAAGTTAAGCTACAACAAATTATTGCATTGATTTTTGGTTAAACTTCCTCGTCCTCAGTGTTGATAGCCTGGAAAGGACATGACTAGATCTTTCAGCTGTGAAGAAGATGCTATATGGGTGCAAAGGAGAGATATTCAGTATAAATGCAAAAGAAAATATGGATGTTTGACTTCATCATTCTAGATAAAAGTATTTAATCAGATTGTGATGTTTTAGAGCTTTTTCTGACAGCCTCATGGTGCTGTTATGAAGTTATGCTATAACAGAGTGTCAGCCAGTAACAGATATATAATTAAGTATTCATACCTTGAAATATCTTTTGTTTTCCTGCCCTAGTAAATTGGATTTTTCATCTCTTAATTATGTGCTGTTTTTACAAGTAATGATTTATAGCTTGATAGAACAGTAATAAAATCTGGCATTCTTACTGTGTTACACTTTAGGTATTCCAAGAAAATCCAGACTTTTCTGTTATTTTTTCCCATGTGTGAAAAATAATGTTGGACAGCTTAGTAGTTACAGATAGTTATAGGCTTATCCATAGATGAACAGAATCTATTCACATGAAATAAATCAATATCCAACTGTTTGACTGGTTCAACTTTGCCTTATTTGATTACTTTTTACAGCTGTCTTACAATACGTTGTCCATGTGTGTTTTGCATGGGCCCATATTTCTTCCTAGCAGTAGCAGTGTGAGAATGAATGACATTGTAGTTAAAATACTCATCTGAGTCTTTGGAGATCTGTGTTTCTGGCTGTGCTCTAGCATTTCTTTGTAACCTAAGGCGAGATAGTTAATTTCTGGGTTTTATGCAGTCATATAAAAGGGTGTCTTTATTATGTGGTGTTATTACCTTGGCACAGTAGAATACACAGTTGTCCTCTAGGTAATAGGAAATAAGGTCCTGACTGGGGAAAAGTATTTAAGCATTTGTTCAGCACACTGTATGTACTTACATGTGTGCTTGAAGCTGCATATAAATTTAAGCAGTGCCTTAATAGGATTGTTTTCCGGAATTGAAGCCTAAGTTAAAGCCTGATGGCTATTCCTGCATTAGCAAGCGAAATAGCCCAGGAAGAGCAAGATTGCAGAGTAGGATGGTGCCAAGAACCAGATTGCATGCTGTGTGGTGGTGGTGGTGGGTTACACTTTTATCTTACGCTCTTACCTGATGCTTTGAACTGAATCATTTTGAGGGAAGTCATTCCTCTACTCAGTATTCATGACATCCTACACACTACCAGTACAGGAGGGTGTTGACAAACTAGACTGAGTTCAGCTGAGGTCCCTGAGATGGCGGTACTGTGAGGAGAGGCTGGGGGAGCTGGGCTTGTTCAGCCTGGAGCAGAGACAGCCTCGGGGTGACCTGACAGCAGCCCCCAATGCCTACAAAGAGGTCACGGAGGAGACAGAGATGGAGCCGGGCTCTTCACAGCAGTGCAGAGCAAGAGGGCAAGAGACGACGGCCATAAGTTAAAACGAGGTTCAGCATGGATGTAAGGGAAACTTCTTCTGTGTGAGGACAGGCAAGGCGGCAGCACAGGTTGCCCAGAGATGTTGTGCAGTCTCCAACCTTGGGATTTTGACCCAGCTGGATGAGGCCCTGCGCAGCCTGGCCTGACCTCAGAGCTGATCCTGCTGTGAGCAGGAGGTTGGACCAGAGACCCCCTGATGTTCCTCACAGTCGGAATGATCCTGTGACCCTGTGAATGCCCAGTATTGGTTGGAGTGTATTAGCTGTGCTCCTGAAGACTGCCCTGTAGTGTGAAACACAGCGGAAGCAGGAGTGATTAGGACATTGGCTTCTGAAATGCACTCCTAACTCCAACTCAGTGCCAACGTAGATGCACCCTATGCAAAATCTGCTTTTGTTTTTCATTGACAAGGAACCAAATCCCCTCTCTCTCCCTCAAAAAATAATTAAAAAAAAGGTCTGGATGGCATCTCCTGTTGATTGCTGCTTTGTCTTGTTTTTCTTTTGTACTCCTGATTTCAGTCTCTGCACCTATTAACTTTAGAATCTTTTTGCGTCTTTACCGTTCTTTAGAGACTTACGTATTATGCTGTCTGGCGTACTCCTCTTCTATGGCATTATGTCAATCTCTTGCTTTCATAGCTGCCTTTTCAGTGCTCTGTTGTAAATCCCTTGAGCAGGAACTTTGCTGCTATATTGACTTAAGCCTGTGGCTGTAGTTAAGACGCTGTCTTTTCATATACCATAGAATTTTGCTATCGAAAATTTTCTGGCCTATCCAATTAAAAAGCTGCTTTATCCTGCTTTGTAATATCTGTTGTGTTACTTTCTAGCTCTCTCTCTTTCACTTTTTCCGCGGTAAAGTTTGATAAGGATCACAGTTTTAGCACAGAAATGAGAGAGCCCCAATGGTGACCCCAAAGAGCAAAGAATGCACAACTAAACCATTTAAAACCAGAGTGGGTGAAAGTGAAAAACTTAAGTAAAATCATTAGAAAAGCATAAGTAAAAATAATCAGAAATTAATACAAATTTGACTTGGAAGAGAAGGAATCATAACATGGATGGACATATTATGACCATGAGGTCATGATGCTTAGGTCTAGTTTGTTGGAGAGCAGACTGCCTGTGTCCGTACCAGACAGTACTTGGTCCTGGTGGATTCTTTTGCCCCGTATGATGCCCTTGTGGCCTTAAATGTAATTATTATTTTTTATTGTTTTTTCTTACTTTAACAAACCTGAAATAATAAGACAGCTGTGTTGTATCTGTCTATAGTGGTGGGGTTTTTGTTTTGTTTCATAGCATGCGTTGAATGCCCTGGCATGTACTGCCCTGGCAGTACACCCTCTGAGTGTATTGAGGTGTTTGTACCAGACAGCTTTGCACCCAGCATTGGAGAACTGTGTAAAGCAGAGACACACAAACCTCATGCAGTTTTGTCCCTGTCTTTTGGGCAGGGGATGAACTCTATCTGTTTAGTTTTGATTTGGAGAGAAGAGGTTGACAGTAAGCTAACACTTCTGTAGTTCGGGCAACTGGGAGAATAGAAAATGGCACATTATCAGACAAATGGCTTAAAAGAAACTGAATTTAGACACCAATTTTTTAAATCTTGGCGGCTGTGTTCTTCTTTTCCCAAGTCTGCACTCAAACACACTGCTTTTCCAAGCAACTTTGTGTGGAACCTACTAATATGCTTTGGTAGCATCATCGTGATGATATGGCTCCAGGACTGCTGTAGCTGTAGCTTTCTCATTACTCCCACAAGTGAGCTGAAATGTGACTGGTCTTCAGCCTTCCTGTGCTGTGGTGTTGCCCCTGAACTGATGTTAAAGTCATGCCTCCTTTTATGTGGATGTGGTTCTAAATGTGCTGATGCTAGGAATGGCCTTATATTGCTCAAAGAATCTTGAGAATTGTATTCCATAAACATTTTTATGCTAGCATAAAAAAGTTTGAACACCAATGTCATCAGCATCACTAAGACAAAAGAAAAAGAGGGAGTGGTGTGCTTTTCTAAGGGACATGTGCCCTCACCTGAATTTCTGTCCGTACTTCATGAAATAGATAACAAAGGATGTTCAATTGCAAGGACCTGACGGGGTCTAAATTAAACATAATCCTTCAGTTGGTTTAAAAATAAACCAATCCCAATAAGAACAAACAGAAAAAAAACCAGCAATAAATGTCAATTGTATTAAATATCTTGGCCACTTTTGTATGCTTAGAAATCTGGCAGGCAGCTTTGAATGAATTTTATCATTGCGTTTTGCTGATTTTCCCATAGCCGAATCGCTTTGGTGGAGGGAACTTAATGTTACGGTTTCTGAATCGATGCAATTATTAAGCAAATGCTATTGTAGAGTGTTTGTTAATAATGGAGATACGAAAGCCAGGGAGAACACGTTTTAGCTTTCACTGCCCAGTTGCTTTAGCAATTCTGAAGTTAGGCAAATTATCGTTTTAGTTTGTTAAATGGATTGGATTTTGTATTAAGCCACTGAGAAATAAGAAAAGTTGGAACACTTGGTGCCATTTTAACTACCCTGTTTTAAAGACAAATACTAACTTTGTCGAAATACTTAGCTGCATCATTCCTTTAAGAGTAACAAGTCTCGGTGAAGATAAAATGTGAGTTTGAATCATTCTTGTAGTTTTATTTCCTTTAAGAGCAAGAAGAATGAATAATATCTCAATCAGATCTTTTTATTTATCACTTTTCATCAGTAACATGTAGGGTGAATACCACCAGTATAGCATGTGTGCATTAAAAATATGTAGGTGGCTCAACTTTAATCTTAAAATATTAAAAGAAAAAAACAAAACAGGAGTTTGCTTTAAAACTGTGCATCTTGTTTGTTTTAGGAGAAAAGGCTGAAAGAAAAAGCAGCAAGGAGAGAAGCCAGGAATAAGAACGCACAGGTAAGAATTTTTGTTGTTTTGATTAAGCTACTAATTGTGGGTTTGAAATCTTTTTTTTTTAATTATTTCATTCATTTCTTTAATAAGCAATGTTGTGATTAATGACTCTTTGCAAGCATTTTCTGTTTGCTTGCCTTTTCTTACTCCCTTGCTCTGATGTGGTTATGACTTGCTGTGGAAGGATACTGAGAAAGCATGAATATATGTGTGTGTATGAATATGTGTGTGTGTGTGTATAAATATATAAAATGTATGGAAGCCTTTTGGAATTGCAGCTTCTTTATTCTGTATATCAAGTGAGTTGCAATTTCAGCTGCAGTGCCGATGCCATTTTTTTTTTTTTTCTGAATACTTGGTCATGTTTATAACTTGCAGGCAGTAAGATATTTTTTCTTGGTCAAATCTCATTTAAACCTGTTTATGCTGAACGTCTTCTTTAAACAGCAAGTATTTACATTGAAGTTTATTCCTTCCCCTTGTTAGACCCACAAATAAAACCTTTGCTATCCTTTTCTTTATATGTATGTTCCTAATTTCCTAGAGGCTGTTCTAGTTTTTCATATTGCTTGGTTTGTGATAAACTGAGATTTCATTCAGCTGCAGTGATTTTTCCAGAATATGGACAGAGTAATGTGTGTCATTTCTCACGCTGCATCTCCTTATGCTACACATCAATAGTTAAGGTTTGTTCTTGGCAGTTAGCAAATATTTTGTCCCTTGAGAAAATCGGTAACATTCTATGTCCGATTTTTGCAAGCTGGCCGTGCGCTGGGAAGCTTAAGTATAGGAAGATGCTTCATTCTGTAGTTGTGAAGTGGAAAGTAATTACAGTTTAAGATGAAAAGCCTAGTTATACTAAGTATTGAGCATGATTCTGTCTTCAGAGATGGCAAGCTACGAGAGCTGTTGGCATCGTGACTCCCCAATCAAGCAATAGAAATTTTCTGCGTGTAATTGAATGTATAGAGATGCATACTTTTTAATGTATTGAGCAAGCATTTTAGGAAAATTATGGAATAAATGATTAACAAACATCTTAATATAGGGAGAAAACATTGATCAAATCAGGCTGTATCGTATTCGTAAATGCTGCTTGTTAATTTTGGCTCTTTTTAAGGAATAAAAAAACCCCCCAATGTCCTGTCATTCAGCAGCTGGAGAAATAAACCCATTCCTTTCAAAAGGATCTGCTTGCTGATGTACTTCTCCTGTTCTATTTGCGAAGCAAATGAATCTCTGTCCTGTTAGAAAATGAATGAAGTTGATCTCTATTGAGGAATGATCTGTGTGGGGGGTGTGTGTCCATGGGTACAGTATGGGTTAAATGCGGAGCCTCACCCCCAAAACTGCGTAAGATAAAGTCACAATCTGATGCACCTCTGCCTCTCTTCTGTGCAACACTTGCACTTGGAAAGCTGATTTACTAGTCCTGGTCTAGTGTGAGATTGGCATATGCTTTCTGTGAGAGTACCAACTGTGCAAACCTGCTATTACTTTGACTTAATTTTATTCCTGAAGCGCTTAGCTCACTCTCTGCAAGAAGGTGCAAGCCTCAGGAGCTGACATCTCGATGAAAACTGTTGGGCTTTTTCTCTTGTTTGAAGGCTATTTTTGCCAGAACTGTGTGCAGCCGAGTCCTGTCATTTTCACTGGGGCTCATTTGAAGGGAAAATGCTTCTGCTGGGAAAGGCTGCCAGCGTGGAGATGGGCGGGCCGTTCACGCCTGGAAGTGGAAGGGAGCAGTAGACAGTAGATAAAGGTGGCAGTTTCCGTCTGCTGGGTGTCTGAGGAATTAATTAAGAACACGCCCTGCTTCACAGAACCTTTGAGATGAAGCCACAGTAGCTGAAGCTCTCCAGAGTCCGGGTGGGATATGACTCAAGCAGCTCCTAGGAGACACACAGGGAAAAAAAAAAAGGAAACAGTAAAACACAGAAACTATCGAAACAGAAACTAGTTTAGAAAATATATGCTGCGTAAATCAGGAGTTCAAAAACGTTTGCATTTTCACTAGTGCTTTCAGAATATGGCTTGTGACCCACTTACTCTGCCATACACAACTCCTTTGGCAATTAATAGTTTTCTTAAAAGAGAAAGCAATAAGGAGAACCAAAAAAGCAGAAAAGCTATTTTTAACTATATTAATGCAGTTTAGCAGCTGGAGAAAAGGGCTAGATCAACAATTATGAGCAGCCAGTCACTTCAAAGCAGCTGTGGTCATAATTTATTTTTCCACATCTACCTGCTTTATTCCCCTTGTTTGTTTTATTAACTGTGTCTCTCTCACATTATAAACTCATTGGGTTACAGAGTATGACTTGTTGTCTTTCACTAGTATGCAGCACACCAGGTCTGACATGACCAAAACAGCAATTTACTTTCCCATTCTAAACATTCAATAATAATTCATCAATTATGACTTTTGCATCTCTGCTTTCGTATAATTCTTGTTGTCCTATTGTTGGTTGTGCCCTGTTACTGACTGGGCAGGGCCTGGCATGTTATTCTTAATGTATACTGGTTTTTTTTTTCCAGAATGAAAAGAGAATTTATTTGGAATTAAAACTTTATGGTTTACAGTTTATTTATTTTCACCTTTTAAACCATACACTTGTGGGATTTGATTTTAGTCTTAATTTAATCTTAGATTCTTGGATTTTTAGTTTTAGGATTTCTCAGTCCTGTACATGTTCACACCTTTCCTGTGCCAGGAATCTTGACTACTTGACATTTTTCATTTACTCTACCTATAATTTTGTAACTCATGGCCTACCCTTTTTAATAACAGCTTTCCTTCAGTTTTATACCCCCATATTGTTTTTGGGAGGAGGTTTAAGTGGTTCCCCTCTCCCCCCTTCATTTCAAAGTTTTAATGCCTTGCATGAATGCAGTTTTTTTGTCTGTATGCCAACAAAAAGGAAAGATTGCAGGAGAGATGGGCCTCCTGCTTTTTTTTTCTGGTGCCACAGGAGCAATTGCAGGGAAGGTTTTGCTCAGCCTTCGCTGCGCTGGGACAGGGCAAGCTCCCTGAAACTGGAATTGAACAACCAAATTCTGGCATGCTGTACTGAATGTGCTTGAGCAGGGGATTAGATGAGTAGGTAGCTGCAGTGTTATTGACTCCACCTTGTATAAATCCCCATGCAATAAATAAACTGGGTAAGAAGTGAGGGCTCTTAAAGGATGCTTTGGAGAAAGTATTTCTTGGAATTTATGACCATTAATTAAATTTGAGTGGAAAAGGCTGTGAAAACAGATAAAAGAAGTCTTCTCATATTCATATTGAAGAAAAACAGGAAACAGGTTTTGGGGGATTTTTTTATCATCAGATATTTAATTGTCTCACAGTTTAGGAGAATTTGATGAGATATTTACAAATGCAGTTTTTTAAGATGAAAAAAGCAAACATTTTGTTCTCAGTACTGATAAAATTGCAGTCCTCAAGCTCTCAAACAAATTTTGATACTGTTTCCTTGAAGGTGGTCTAGAGAAAATTAGGCAATCGTGATGTCTTTTGAGAGACATAGCATACATAAAGGACTTTTGTTTTAGGTTTCAACCAGCATTTAAAGGTCCGTGCTCTGCAGTGAAGCTAAACAGGACTGTATTTCTCCGTTAGTGAGTTTAGTGTTTTGCTATCCTGATTCCTTAGAGCAGTATTGATGTGTTAAGAATTATGAAGTGAGGAAAGTTTTGGTTTCTTTAAAGAAAATTGTTTTTGTAGGAAAGGCATTTTCAAGGAGCAGTTGAACAGGGTCAAGGTGTGGGAGCAGAGCAGGAGTCAGGAGAAGGTGCTGTTTCTTGCCCCAGCACTGATGTGCTTTGTGATCCTCAGCTATTGACTCCCAACATCATGCAAGAAATGATAACTAGCCCCTAAAAGAAGGTATCAGTATCTGCTAGAAATAGTTTGGACAGCATCTGTAAGCGGTGCCAGGAGGTAAAACTTGCTCAGTCATGCCAGTTTGGTGCATCAATTCAGCCATTTGCAATACTATAGCAGTTACACCATGCTGCTGTCCAAAGCAAACCAGAAAAATCTGAAAAAGGGCTGACTAGCAGACCAGAGGCTGTTTACCCAAGGTCCATAAGAAAATGTAGCCTGCTGAAAACCTAGGGAAATCCAGCCTGCACATATACTCCTTAGTGAGAGGGTTTTTCTGTTTTAGAAAGGAATGAAGAGGACAAATCATTGGAATAAAGTTGAGGATGGGGATTGTTTTCAGGACGGAAAACTGGCCTCTTCTGAGAGAGATCCACGCACTTGGTTGTCACGGGTACTTTTTCAAAGGAATGAATTCTTGCTGAGTAATTGTAGAGCATTAAAAGATCAACAGCAACAGCAGGATAATAAGTATGCTTTAACTTTTCTCATGTCCTCTCTTTCTCGCCTGCTCTCTCCCCAACATATTTTGCTATTCCCAGAGGAATTAGTACTTGTGTATGAGATTTTACATATTTTACACAATATATACTTGATATACTTACATATATAACAAGATTTTCGTGGCGTTGCAATGAAGTTAGGAATCTTTCTACTCTGTTATGAAGGGATTTATGTGAACACGTCTACAAAATACACCTGGGTGAGCAGGAGGCACGTGCTTAAAGATATGACAGATTCAGGCATCGATATCTGCCTGTATCATGTCACTGCAAGGTATAATCCTCAATATAGCATTCTGTTTTCTGCACCTTGTGCCATGCTCTGTTGAGATTTTAACCAGAAAAATACTTTAAAACACCATTTTCTTTTAATCTCTAGTACCCTCCATGGGATTTGAGATACACTTGCTGAACGTAGCTTAAGAAATCTTTGCACTGTGTGGCAAAATTCAGACAAGAAAGGGACAGAGTCAGATCTCTTGGGTAGCTATTGCTAATAATCCACTGGGAGAAATATAATCTTTAAAATATGTTGAAAACTTTGCATCCCCTGTGTGTCGTTCTGTGGTTACTGGGAACTGACTTCTATTACCTGACAGCTTTGCTTCTCCCTT